TTATTCTGCTTTCTTTTAGTCTAATCACTATTAGCTAGGCCTCTGGTCTCTTAACCAAACTCTGGACTTCGGGTCTGAAAAAGAGCTGGCACAATCCATATACCAGGTTGTTATATAAAATGCACATGGATTTTAACCCTTCAACACTCAATTGAAGGGGACAAATAAGCAGGCTGGTAGCAGGGCTTGAGTGAGGGAAGAAATCAGCATCTTAAGGGCCTAATTGGCTCCTACTACTTCAGTTGACTGCCTGTTCTCCTCAAGTGGGTTCAGGGAAGCAGCAGGAAACAGGAATCTCCCTGAGAAGCTGGTGTGAATCAGTCCAGGCTTCTGGGGGTGCTAGAGCGGTACATAAGAGGTTCCTCCTCCTCTCTCTCCCTGCAGCTCCTGCTGCTTTCTATTATTCCCTCTCATCTTTTCTCCTGCCTGCCTGTTATGTCTCTTGTGCCCTCCTTCCTCCAGCACAGCACTCCACCATCTCTGTGCATCTAGAGCAGAGAAAATATATATGCACCAGCAGAGAAAATACATATGCACCAGCAGCAGACACGATTTTCTACACTCTGGGTCCTAGTGGCGCGCCCCCCCTATCCCCCAAAGTCTGGCACCTGAAGCAGACGCCTCAGTTCGCATCATGGTAAGGCCAGCCCTGGGTCCAAAGAGAAAGAGAGACACTATTCTGGTCCCAAACAAAGTAGCTCTGCCTATTGTGTTGCTAGCAGACACCAGCTTGCAAGGCCTGCAGAAAAATGGGAACATGAGCTCAACCAGAGCAGCAAATGGGAATGACAGGAATATGCTAGTGCTTGGAACAGGAAAGTGCAACTGACCATCAACAAAACAATGAAAATGACTCTAAATACTGTCAAATACATTAAATAAAAAAACTGAAAAAATATAGAACAATTAATTATTTTTTCTACTGCTTTTCAGTTATATTAATCTTCAGTGTTATGTATAGGAATAGTAAGTTAAAAAGCATCAGATTGAAATGTGACTTTTAAGTTGGTTTCCCCATAATTTCTATCCTTTGATGTTTCTATTTTGTATAATTTATTATACTGCCAGTTGAGCAGTGACTTCATTTATTGTTTTTCTGCCTCAGTTTTTTGCAATCAAATCTTTTGCCTGTTACACTTTTTTCATACCAGTATTTAAAGGGAAACATGGATAAAATCCGTGGTCTTAAAAATCTTATAGACGTAAACAAGTGTATATTGATAAGGACAGGTGTAGCTTAAAAGAAAAGATTTAGGCCCTAATCCTGCAAATACTTATGCACATGGTTAACTTTTCTACTATGAAGTAAAAGGTAAGCACATGCACAAATGTTTGCAGATCATGGCCTATCCTTGTGTCTTGAATAAGTGTTCATACACATTTGATAGTATATATCCAAACAATAGGTAAGAAAAAAAAATTGGTTGGAGCCAATAGGACTGAAATGGTGGTTTTTTTATTTTTGTTTAAACAATAAAAACTAAAAAATACTGTAGTGTATTCAATTAGATTTTCAGGATAAAAATTAGACTATTTTGTTCAAAATTTGTTGGTTGGTGGGGCCATTTCAAAATCGTCACACCACTTGTGGGGTGATATAGTGTTGACATTACAAAACATATACTTCATAAATGATCAGCTCACAGGCTGGAAGACGTTTCTTACACTTGCTGTTTCTTTACATAACCGTTAATTTGCTTTTGTATTTTTACGTAGTGCATTTGTCTTTCTTTCCCACTTAACTGCTCCATTTTTACCATTAGAGACAGCAAAAGTTGTAAGATTAAAAATGGAAAATGGTGTCGTGTCTGGTTAAGTGTTTTACCTCATCATAGGTTTCTGGCAACACTAAAAGAGAATGCTGCTGGCCATTTTCAGCCTCCCAAAACGGCACACTGAGTCAGGTGTAAACAGGAATAGCACCATTGATTTCCATGTTGAGAATCTGGCCTGTTAGTCACATTTTCTCCTTTTAATTTATGGTGCTGAACCCAGCCATCTGAAAGCAACCTAGAACTAGTCCTCAGATCTGCAGTAAAATAGATTTCCTCCTCCTTCACTGTATATACAAAACATAACTACCTCAAAATAATGCTATCACTTCTATGACATCGGTAACTTGTTATAGTGTATTATGATGGATTTAATGTTTGTCAAATATTTTAATGTTGTAACCACTATATGTATGAATATATTATTAACTCAAGTTCAGAATTAGCAGCAGGAGCAGATGTAGCCTTAAGGAACAAACATCTTTTGTTCATGCACATAGTCCCAGTAATAATCAGGGAGAAAGGAAATATTTATCAGCAGCATTATCTCTAAACGGAATGCTTTTCAGATTTTTCCATGAAGCTTCACTGGCTCTTTGAATAGATTGACCTTCATAGATGTAAAGACTCAGGGTAAATCTGTCATAAAAAATAAATCATTGCACTTTTCAATGGGACTTCATGGAGCACTAATATGTCAGTGCAGATTTAAGCCTCTACTAAATAAAATGTGTGTGTTAGCTTGCAAAAGACCCAAACAATTCACCAGAAACATAGTTTGGTGCGGAATAGGTAGACCATTAAATAGGAGCACTATGGAAGAATTCAGAGTAGGTTAAGCTGGTGTTATGTCTTCCAAGTTTTTTAACTCCTTACACAATGCTAAACCGAAATTGTCAGTGTTTCAGACTCTGCTTCAGTGATTGAACAAGTTATTTTTTATTTTTGGAAGTGGATTAGTAATGACATCCTCATGACCCCAGGCATCCAACTTCAGCTGTTTAGACATTCCTGGCTAGCTTGTTACAAAAGCATCTGACAGTCTTATATGGTCTCTTCACTGCCTATGTTAATAACCTTGCCTTGGGATGGTATTGTGACCTCTTGCAAGCTGGTCAGTCTCTTTCATTACAGCATGGGTACCAGGCAAACTTTAACTCAGAAGAGCAGCATGAGTAGTACAGCAACATCTTTGGAAGTTCCTCCTTAGTGACAAATGTCTTCCTGATGAGATGATTATAGTTTGTACATAAAAATGTTATGCACACTGTAAGAAAGGGAGGCATAAAAGGCATAAGCAACAAAACCATTGTTTTGCAATGGGATCCAGAAAATTCAGAGCAGCAGTTTGTCAAAATGCAGGTTGTATGAGAATATTGGCTACCAGGCCTTTATATTAAGAAGACCCTTGATAGGGAATGTCATCACAGGAATATTCATCACAGCACAAGAGAACTTACAGCACAAGTTGTGCTCTTTATGAAGTGGGCAAACATACTGGGTGGTAGTTGATGATGTGCTTTTCAGTTTGATATAAAGAACCTTGACAGATATTAATTTTAAGGCAGTGGTTTTCAAAATCTTGGTTGATTGAATGAGAGAAATCCACAGGCTTCTTACCTACTTGATGCCAAATGGAACATATCAGGAGCTAAGGTGTAGAATAAATACAAAACTAAAGAATTAGAGGCAGAGTCCTGTGGCACCTTATAGACTAACAGATGTATTGGAGCATGAGCTTTCGTGGGTGAATACCCACTTCGTCGGATGCACTTCATCATGCATCCGACGAAGTGGGT